TAGTTTGATGATTTCCGCACCGTATGCCCTATCCACTTCTAGCGTCTTTCCTTAATACAACATTATTGCTACATCTGCTTATAGTTGATGTTTCTATAGAGACTGATCAAAATTCATTCTTGTTAATCAATAATGAGGCGACACTAACCCTTAACAGTGAGAAGCGTTTTAATATAAACAATAGAATATTCTAAATTTTGAAAATTTGGTCAAATGGATCTTCTTGATAAATTCAATTTTATTATCCCTCCGTGTTCATTTTAAAATAAATAATAAATTCATGGTGACTAATCAATTCTCAATTAATTACAATAAAATACGAAATATTCGTAATAATAATATCCAATGTAAATAATTTTTCTGATAAATGACAATGATGGACGGTCTCACAATACCGTGGATTGGTTGAAGTTAGACATTAACACCAACGGATAACGGCTCAGTGGTCTAGAGGTTAAGTGTTCACACACAAGGCCGAAGACTCTGGGCTCGAGTCCAACCTGCAGGATCGTGGATGCACAATACTGAGGAGCCCTGTCCTAGGACAAAACGGCCGTCCAGTGCTTCCAAATTTTCAATGGTGGTCTAGCTTTAATCGACTCATGAATTCAACTATTAAATTGCTACAATCTCCACAAAAACGCTCTTTCTGATAAAACGTATTTGACCTGGATTTTATGTAAATATTTCTGTTGAATAATATCAGTTATTGTAATTACAAGCTTTTAAGTGGTTGAAACGAATGTCTCAAATATTTTCAGCTACTCAATGTCTTTGGGAAATTCCAGGATATAATACTAGTTTAATCTAAGTTAATTTGATTGGTTAAGAATATTGATGTGTGCGCGAGGACGATAATGATCAGTTATTTACTTAGACTAGTAGATAATCTGACATGTAGATGGTGGTTGGAGGTAGTCAACAGGAAACCCTGGACCCAGGTTTCATGCTATTTGGCGCTCGTCAGCAAGGTGCTCAGTGGTAACGTCTCTGACTGTGAAACTGGGTGACACGAGATCGAATCCGCCAGGGAGCACCAGTTCCCTCAAGATTACAGGTACACATTGCTGACGAGTGCCAAATAGAACGAAACCTGGGTCCAGGGTTTCCTGTTGACTACCTCCAACCACCATCTAAATCTCAATACATAGTGCCCGCATTGTCGAGTCACCTAGACTGGTGGCCACATTGCAACATGATCGATAGCACTCGATCTGCACTAATAAGGACTAGACAAGCATGACATTGATCACCACCCAGTGATCAATCAATTGTGAATCTGACATCTGTTAGATGAGTTATGTATTCTCCTATCCTTATTATTATTATTATTGTGGTTTTTGTCGGTTTCTGGTGTGGAAATATACCTACGTTCTAATCAGGCTGGTCGCGTGTTCTGAGTTGTGTTGAAATCTGGTAGAATAGACACTGGTAGGGTATCTAGTGTAGATATTCGTCTAAAACAAATTATCATCACATTAGTGTAGACGGGAAAACCGAGCATTTTAACAAACACACAGATTATTACAAATTTTAGTGTTTCCCTTCATTGTTCAAAACTTTGAGGTTACTTGCAAGTATATAAATAATAAGCAAAGATGGTAGTGGCTAGCAATAGGCTTCAGGAATTGTTAACTGGATGTACATCCAGCCTCTAGTGCACTCTAGTGCACAAACAGGAGGCTATCAAGACTCAGTAGATAAGTGGATAACATGATGGCGTATGAAGCGAACGGTACTGGGTTCGAGTCCCAGTGTGGACATCAACTTTGGGATGCAAGTACATCCAGCTGATGAGTACCAGGAGGACGAAACGCGCATACTGGATTCCACTGCTAGCCACTATTCATCTTTGCTTATAAAGCTTGTGACTTAAGACAAATAATACCTTGTAAATTTATAGAACTGATAATCGTATATTTTGCACCGGAACTAATTTTCTGTATGAAGTTGTATAGTCGTATATCTGCCTTGTAATTACCCGGGTGTTAAAGCAATGGCCTTAGATTTGATGGGAGTTTTTGAAAAATTAGTTACAGTTGCTCAGTACAATAGATTTTACAAATAGTAACCAATTTACATACAAAGAAGATAACAAAATAATATAAATTAATTATCAAATAACTTTTGTTACTTTTTTAATTAAGATTGTAAACAAATCTAAGATTGTAGTGTCGGTTACTATATTAAGCCCATATAATTTATTCTAGCTTCTAGACAGGCCAATTTTTCCATTCTTCTTGAGTCACGTTTTGACCGTGTTAGTTATTCACTTATCAACCTTGACCATTTTTATATGAACGTATATGCGTTCATGTCCTATCTTACTCATCACATGTCTGTAGCTTATTTTTGTTCGGCTATAAGTATCAATTAACGCTTAATCAAACTAAGTTGTCTCACACGCCTTGTTCACCACGCGTCATTTTGTTTCGCTCTCCTCTCTTCGCTCCATCCCTCTGATTGTCTGTCCAGATCGATGAGTGTACAAAATATACGTAGTCGAAATTCTTCCTCGTATTTGGCTTATTTAATTCCGCTATATTCACTAAGGCGATTTAACTCAATAATTATATACAAGGATTGACGACATGTATATTTCAAAAACAATCAAGCATACGGTTTAACTGGCGTCAGATTAAGGGTCATTGAAAGATAATTTTGTGAAAATTATCTAAAACAACAAACTAGAATGTTATTCAGTCATAAATAATGTAGGTCTTAGCATAATTATACATCAGCTCAAACTATCACACTTGATCAACAAAGGAAAAAAATTAGTAATATACATACCAAAGGTGAAGGAGAGATTATAGTAATGTTCATAACTGTGAAACGTCCATTAAAGATATTATGAATTCAAGAGAAGTAATTTACTTAGTAAGTCAAAATATAAGAAATAATATTGAAATTCCAATATGAATCCTTCTACATTACTGTGAACGACTTTAAGTCATTTTATTCGACATCTTCAATAACTGATCACGTTTAACTGCTCAAGCTCCAAATTCTCATAAGGCTCAAACAATCATTTACTTCATGAGCTTATACTACATCTTAGTTTAGATACCTCTAGCCTTCATCCAAAATAATTCAACCTTCTATGGGTGGAGATACACAGATAATAAATTTCAGTAGTCTTATCAAATGAATTCACATATTTCTTTAGTATATTATGCCTGATTTCAGTTGATTTACTTAATCGAGGAGATAAGAGAGTTGTTAGGAGGTGTAGGAAGGATTTGATCGTGACCAACTTGGTTTCGTGTGCTGTTACGGGTATGAGGGCTGATGTCACTTCCTAGCTGCCCACACCATGGGAGGGTATTTCTTGAGGAACCTGAAAATGAAGATGAATTATTTTTGGTCTTAACGATCTGGGAGCGTTACCTCAGGGCCCAAGGGACAGCTGTTTGAGGACGGTCGCACACGGCTTGTTTGTGGAAGGTTTTTAACTTATTAGCTCCGTTCTTCAAAAAGCCTTACCACCGGAGACGGAAATCCATGAGGTAAGGTGAGGTGTGACATTTTTAGGGTCAACCTTTTCTAACCCCTTCCTTCCTTGTGAGAAGGCAGCATCTCAGCAGATACTGGTTGTTCGAGGGAAACACCTTACTGCTGTCACACCCCTCTACAGTCAGCAGTATGGCTTCGCCCTCAGACCTTAAGTTGCTGCTTTTAGTCTTACCGTTCTCCAATCGACCTGTCTGGCATGGTAGAACCTACAGTAACATATGTTCTAGCCAATATAACTCGGTTGAGTCATCACAATAGGCAAGCCTGACCACCACATCAAGGTAGTAGCTACGGTCGGTCAGGTGCATCTACTCTTTGTGTTCTCCCAAATTCTAATCTTCTGAATTCTCCTTGTATTCTTTTTTTCTTCTCTTTCCAAATTTATTTTACTGGATTATACTCCTTGAATAACATCTTCAAACTTTAATCTTTCCGATTACCTCTTATACTCTTCCTACCTCTACCACTATGGAATTTGAATAGACAATTGTATCTCTGTGCTAATATGGTATGGCAACTCGAACTGATGTACGTAAGTACGAAGTTCTACATTGTTACAGACGTCTTTACTTAATAAATTAATGTTGACCTTGTAATTGAAATAAGTTACTTTTGAAACTATTCTTTAAGTAATCAGTAGATCTGTTTTTAAACAATGTTGAATACAACCTTACATTTAACGCGTTAAATGTTACTACTATATCTTTTACTGTTCATCAATTACAATACATTAAGGATGCGTAAAATAGATTAGGAAGAATTACCGGGTAGGGAACAGGTGAAACTATTTTTTATGTTCACTGATCGCATAGCATAAACAGTAAATCGTGTACTGTTAGACTCATTTTTAACGTAAGTCCAGAGAAAAACCACAACAAGATGGTTTTTATCCCATGATATACTTCAATGACATCTATAATTTAAGCCAATCATGAACAAGAAATTAAGTGATTTAACTGTTAAGTTCATGAGTCAATTGCAGCTAGATCACCATGGAAAACATGAAAGCACTGGACGGCAGTTTCATTCTAGTATGAGACTACCCAGCATTGCGCATCCACGATCCCGCCTCCCGAGATTCGAACCAAGGACCCATCGGTTTTGTGCGTGATCGCTTAACCTCTAAACCACTGAGCCGGCATCCAAAGGTGTTATTGTCACTGAAGGCAATTGTGGACGGTAGCCCAATTTTGTGGATTGGTTGAAGCTAGACATTAAGACTGGTGGATGCCGGCTGGCTCAGTGGTCTAGAGGTTAAGCAATCAAGCGTGAAACCGATAGGTCCTGGGTTTGTATCTTGCAAGGCAGGTTCGCGGATGGGCACTATTGAGGAGTCCCACACTAGGACGAGACGACCGTCCAGTACTTCCAAGTTCTCCATGGTAGTCTAGTTTCAATTGACTCGTGAACTTAACTATTGAAATTACTAATAATATCCACAAAACCCCCTTTTCTAATCATGAAAAGTAAATTCATAAAAAAGAGAAATAACGTAAAAATCTATTCATTTTTCTACAGAAATTATTCAATAGAATATAAGCTTAAAAGTACAATTTAAAACTGATACAATCAACTGTGATATACAAAAAAACCAAAAAAAATCTTTTTTTTAATTTTATTTTTCTACATAAACAAGGTACTAGGCTGTTTCACTTTAAATATACTTTTGGTGACGAATGTAATATTGATACTTCAACTATGATTTACAAGAATTAATCTTGATCTTCATGAGGTATTTCAATTTGTTTCTTTTCTAATTTGTCTTCCATTGGCTAAAACGTAAATAAAGAGTAGGGAAAACTTTTAAAATATCCCAAATATTCTATAGAATGAAAGTTATTAGTAATGAAATAAACCATGTATTTGAAATAATATGACATTATACCATCTCTGGTGGCCTGTTACTCTTAATGGAGTATAGGCCGCTGACCAGCATTCTCCAACCCACTCTGTCCTGTGCCTTCTTTTCTAGTTCCATCTAATTCTCGTTCAATTTTCTCATGTCTATTTTCATTTCCCGGCGTAATGTGTTCTTTGGTCTTCCTTTTTTTCCTTTGACCTTGAGGATTCCATGTGAGTAATATCATCTCTAATATCATCATATACTAGTTTGATAAAAGTTGATTTTAAAGTAATCAGTAATGAAACGTATAGTAGTAATGTAGTGATCGAAAACTTGGTGAGGTGAACCAATTACATCAATGTCTTCGTAAAATATGAAAATCATATATGAAATACTTCATTTGTCTCTTACAAACTTCATTGTTCCTACATTCCTGTTTTTATTACAACTACTCTATTTTCATATTCTTCAATTCGATTTTGTCAACTCTCTGTCGTCAGTCATTCTACTTCTGATCGATGCTACATATTACTTATGTCTACAGTAATCACAGTAATAAAAATACTGATTATTCTTAAAAAGCCACAACGTTTATGCACATTCGTTATTAAGTCACAAAAGGAATCAGGCGTTCATAAATCTTTAGGATAAATCTATTCCTTTTTGAACTAAATAGTTATACATTCACATCCTACATTTGATTGTATAAACTATCAAATGTCATTAGTCTAATTTACATTCTTGTCATAAATACATTTAGTGGAAATTTGGAAACTACTTTCTTATGATGCCTTAGCACATTTCACTCAGTTATTGTTTTTTTTTTCTTTAAAGCTAAACTACTCACCAATTTGTATGAGTGGATTATACGATACCAAGATTATAATGCTGCTTTAATCCATTAACCAACAATTGCATTCAAGATAGTTGTCAAATCAATGATTCCATTGAGAATCAGTGATCTAGATTTACGACTTTTTTTTATGACAATAAGTATCAGAAGAATATAAGTAATATTATGACGAAGTTAATCTGTGTTTTTACTTCTATGGATTCTATGATTCTTTCAAAATGTTAATTCTTATCTAAGATCCAATAGTTATTTTGCTAAACATAAATTTAAACAATATTCTATTTACTGTAATCCGGTGAAGTTGGCTATCGTTATGTAGAATGCAAAATAAGCTATTAAATCCGCAGTGAAATACAATAGGCGCATTTCGTCCTAACACTAGGATACAGGTACATTCAGTTACAAATAAGAAGAAATGAGCTTCCTGGATTCTAATCCTACCCACTGTCCAACTTCATTTAAGAAGTCTGGCCTAATGACAATTAGGATTCACATATACACAAACAGACTTATCAAAATTCAGTCCTTAACACTAATGTATGGGAGATTCAATACCTTAAAAATAAAATGAATTAAGTTAGTTTTCGTTTCATATAAGGTATAATCATTGGAATATTTATAAGCAGATTTCTAAAGACATGATTTTATACTCGTTTTCAGTAGTCACAGTTAGCAAAAAAGGTTTTCTAGTATGGTCAGTTTTATACAATCCTCGATTTCCTATATTCAAACATGTTTTATGAAGTTCGAAACATTGAAGGTGTTATTAAACCGGTATGTTGTTGTACACATCGTCGCGCTGTACAGAGTATTTTTATTTAACATCTGATAATCATGAAGCAATAATTTAAATGAGACTAGAATTGTTTTTATACACCAGATGCTTCATTTATACACAAATACTTTCACAAGAATACAAAAGTTAGATCTGTTCATTAAACTTAAGTATTGCAATAAGCAGAAGATGAATGATGGCTAATAGTGAAATCCAGGATGTGTGTAACACCATATTTGGGACCCACTAGCTGGATGTACCTGCATCTTAGAGTCGATGTTCTCTCCAGGACTCGAACCCAATACCATTGCTTTCAAACGCTGTTGCACTATCCACTTAGCTCTTGAGTCTATTATCCATCGGATGCACACATACCAATAATAGACGATTCAATTACAGTTTTAAGCGTCAATTGGAATATTCAAGCAACCATTATAGGGTGATTTAAGTACTTTCGTTTTTGATTTTGTGTTACAGCATACTACTAACTATTATTAAGTCCTGTGCAACTTTTTACAGGTTATATGATGTTACATATATTAATTTTCATAATTAACATCATTAACTAATTTCATTTAGATCGACATTGAAAACAAGAAAGGACTAGATTGGTATACCTTTCTGATATGGGACTCCTCATCACTACATATCCAGTATGTTATTTCAGTGAACTCAGTAATTTAAATTCGTCTATCCTATTTTTTTTATTCATATGCTCATTCGTTTATTTTGTATGTATGGGTAGAGAGTTAATAATTAATATATTTTTGTTATATCCCAATGAGTAGGAAAATTGTATTTCTGACGTTTCGTGACTTAATATAAGCCACTTCTTCAGAGTAAATAAATAAATAAACACAAGTTTAGGTAGTAAAATTGTACCAAATATTTGTTTATTATTTTGTTGAACTGTTAGAATAGAAGTAAATTCATACAAATTATTGTTATTTGTCCACCCTGATTAGAGTTGTAATGTAAATTCTGATAGAGGTTTGTACATTGATATGAAGTACAACAAAATGTTTAGATGATATTGTTAGATCTCGACGGGTATAATAAACGGTAATTGTTGGACTAATACTATACATATATTTTCATTGTATAATTGTTAAGTAACTAAACTATTCATATTTGTGTTCCTCATATTATAAGCTTCATTCTGACTTTTAAACCATCATTATACGATTTATCATTCATGAGTTATGTCCAGCATATTAATTACAGTCTTCCACATTCACAGCCACCTTTGGCTAGATCTTTTACAAATGTTATTTTCTATTTTATGGTATGATGTGGTCTATTTGGTTTGTTTGTTAATCCAGTATGTTTGTAATACATGATTTATATCGCGGAGGCTGTGATTTGTGTTCTGAACTTCACAGGCAAGGAAAAGAATCAATCGGGACTTTAGACCGTTTGCACAGGTTTATGAGTCATTTGTTGGTTGTATAAGTCCGCATATCTAAATTTGTCAATCATATTCGCGGTAATCATATAAGCTAAGGACATAACAGATGTGTTGCATAACACTTGGGGTATATTATTTTAAACAGGTTTACTTTCTATCATATTGAAGTAAAAAATATATTCAACAGACTTATGATGAAGATTTATTCTATGCGTTGATGATTCCAGTTGTAAGATTAGTCACTTGACTTAGGTAGTTAATGGGAATTCAAAAAAAGGTCCTTAACATAAGTTTTGATGATAAAAAAATTATGCTGCCTTAATAACTCATTATTTAACATTTCTAACTGATGTATTAAGTCACAACTTTTGTGACAGTGTTGTCTCAATGTTTCTGGATTACTTTCTTCAATGTCATCTAATACCATGCAGTATGTCATACAATCCACCAACATTTTAAATAATTTAAAATAACTATCTTCAATACTAAAAGATTAGGTAACATAATAATTATCAATAAAAGTTTGTAAAGATTGTTGAGCTTAGATCGATTTCATGAATGGATCATTGTTGAAGGAGTTCCAAACTGCAATGAATCGATCGTCCAGTGCTTCTATATTTTCAATGCTCATCCAATATTGATCCATTCATGATATCAATTTAAACACAATAATTATGAACAATTATAAATGGAAAATAGAAAATCATATAAATCTATATAAACTAGTGGTATTTACATACCTGATTTTCTACTACATCAGCTTGAACAGTATGAGTAGTTAAACGTATATCATTATTATTACTATTATTATTTATAGTGCTAAGTTCTTTTTCTGGTTGCATCAATAAAAATGGTACATGGACAGAAAATCGACTAGAAGAGAAAGAAATTCCATTTAAAACATAATTGAAATTATTACTGATATAGTCATTAAGAGTAGTATCAATATTTCTCAATAAATTAATATGAGTGGAATCGAACGGATTCCTTGCTAAGTTAATTTATAATATTACTATTTGAATTTATACTATCGTAATAGACTGCCAAATGAAATCTCAATGGAAACTTCAATCACAGTATTTAGGCACATTTATTCATCGATTTCTGATTAGGATAAGGTGCTGCATGTTCGTTAATTCCAACGTTAATCAATAGTTAGAATATAAACAAGTTGTCAATGAAAGAAATATCGAAAACTTCATCTTTCAATAGTGATAGATTAATATAAGAAAAACAATTTACAACATTTGACTGAGTTCGTCATTTTCTATAAACTTTTACTGAGATCGCAGACTAAAGGGAAGACATGAGATATCATACTAGAGCTGTAGAGACCTTATCGATTGAAATTAAACCAGTCAAATTTTTCACGGTGAGATTATAATTTATGGACGACCTTTGAGCGACACTAAAGTGATATTGAGAGTGTTCATCTAACTACAAGGATCAAATGAGGGTTATAGACCAATGTGAGGAATTAGAATTATGATTTACAGTTGATAGTTAGGGTTAGGAATTAGGTTAAGGGTTTTCATCACGAACTGACATTAGCTATAATGCCAAAACTCTATTTAGTCAAATGAATGAATGAATTTTGCGCCGAAATCCAAGACCTGTTATTTTATATTTGATTGGTTCATACACAAATTGTAGTCTCGCCATGTTCACTTGTCAATCTTATTCTAACTACTTCAAAAAATCCAAATTATGGAAGACGATGTCACGAAAACCACATTTGACTATTCAGTTTCATTTAATGAACTTAATTTATGGTGTGAATGTAAATCGTTCGTGGTAAAAACCTTTGAAGTTATTATCTGTGATGATGTGCATGTACTTTATATTTACATCTAGTTATCGTGGTTAGGATCAAATAAGTCGTTGTGACAGACTATAAGGCTTGAGCCATAGTTCCTTATGACACATTAGAATTATTTCAATTCATTAACAGAGATTCGCAATATTTTGATTTAATACCTGAAGTATTCATTAATAGTTATTGACTTAAATTGTAAACCAAAGGTTACTTTTAAGAGTTTGTATGATCCTGCTGCTAAGCATGAGAACCCCGTTTGATCGATCTTAATGGGTCAATGTACTCAGAGAGAGAATAACTCTGTATTACTGACAGTATACTTTAGTACTAAGTAAGTTAATGGTTATATAGAAACAGTAACCTATTGAAAAAGACATTGGGATTTGAATCTCAATATTAATGTCAATACTGCGATGCAGACAAGAACAATTAATGAATGTTAGATATAAGGAAACATAAGTCATGAATTTCAATGTTAGTTACAAACCAAAAAATAATCGTCAAACCAAAGGCCTTAAATCTCATTGCTAATTTATCTGGTTTAACGTAAAGTTTGAAAGTTTTGGTAAATTTCACAGATATCGTGTATAGGTATCTGTTGTGTAGACGGGGCCCAACATTGATTGGTTGACATTCCGGATAGTCTGTTGAATAATCTATGAAATTTCACATATTTTCACAAACCTCTTGTAATAATTTTGTATCTAAATAAACCACTTAATCAAATGTATAACAAGATGATAATAAATAAAGATTATAACACTAATGAATGAATTACCTGATCCCTACCCAACATCTAACACGAACAAAGTATGATATAACAACACCATGTAATTCTTTATTTGCTTTGATTGCCGTTTCCGTAGATCTAGAAAAAAGCGATGATGGAATCATAGGCAAATATATTAAAAAGATAAAAGTTATGGGCTGATATTTCTTAAATGTCTTGATTATTTATAAAATGATGTATGACTTGGATACTATATAATCCTTGAATAAAGTTTATGACTAATTTCGAACTATCAGTATTCATCAGTAAAGCGTATCATGAAGTAACTGATTCTCCCATATCACCTAGCTTCACAATTTGAAACTTCAACCTTCACCTCTTTGGATTGTAACGGACTTCGTGTACGACTTCGATATTAATGAATTACTGACCACTGAGTAATGACTGATTTAATGCTTATACAATTCTCAAGGTGCTCGTTGAATTCTGACAATCATCAGGAAGGAAATTTCTCAGTCGAATAAATGTAACAAAAAGTTAGATTGTTTCAGAGTTTTTAGTGAGAAGTTTTCGTCACTACTGTGATAAAGTTATGTCTGTAATAGTGGGGGAGTGGGGGCTAATAAATAATTCATAGATTACTATTGATAAAAGACAGACAATTGTTAAAATGTTTACAGTTTTGTGTATTTTGGTGCTTAAATTCGTAGCCACCTATAGAATATCAGTAACGATTATTTTATGGTAGTGTTGCCCACTAGTTTTACCTATCAGAGATCAGTTACTTAGAATGTCAGTCAAATCCACAATAATAAAAGTACCAATAATTAACAAGTAAATAATAATCGAATTCATGAGTTGATTTAAGCTTGATCACCACTGAAAACATGGAAGTACTGGTAAAACTACTAAAATCTCCACAAATCCCCATTCTAATAGTAATCATGGGCTCACTATTTACCAGCGTTGAGCTCAAACTCCTGGAATTCCAGTGAGAAGACATGACCAGTGGGTTTCAATCCGTATCTGGCGGAGACAGTTATCCACCTCAGACAATAGATGAAGGTTTGTGAAAGATCAAGGACTGATCCCGTTTCAGTAGTCTAAGTATTAAGCTTTCGCGCACGAGACCAAAGGTCCTGGGTTCAAGTCCCACATGTGAGATCGTGGATGCGCACCGCTGAGAAGTATCATATTAGGATGAAATGGTCATTTAGTTCTACCAGATTTCTGATAGTGGTCTACCATAAATCGATTCATGAATCAAACTGTTAAAACAGTAACAATATCCACAAATCCCCATTCTGAAAATAAATAATAACAAATCTTTTAACTCATAGATTCATTTGCAATGTTACGTTCACTGAGTTGGACAATTTACTTTCGAATCTTTTATTATTATTCTGGACTGATACTACCTATGTAGTTAGATGATGACGGTCAAATCATATCGTGAATTAACCCTTCTTATAAATATAGACTAATGGAATTTAACTCACTTGTCCACAGACACTGTAATTATTGCCTAACCTATATATCATTAAGAGGAGTTGTGGAGATTTTGGTAATTTTAACAGTTGAATTCATGAGTCAATCTAAGCTAGACCACTAGTGAAAATCTAGAAGCACTGGATGGTCGTTTTATCCTATCATAGGAGACCTCAGAAGTAAGTATCCACGAACCTTCATACGAGACTCGAAACCAGGACTTCCGGTTTCGCGCACAAACACTTAGTCACTAGACCACTGATTCAGCATCCAATGGTGTTAATGTCCAACTTTAATCGGTGTTGCTTAACGCCGTAGTGTTTGGACATATACAAAATTAGGAATAAACAACTGTTTAGCACATTCTTTAACAGTTATTCTGTTCAAGTGAGTTTGTGGTGAAAAGTTATCGTTAAATCCATTTATAAATGATCATTTCCTATAACATTTTTCTTAAATGCTACGAATAGGATTACTTGGTGAAAAGATACTTTATCTTCATTTAATCTTGGAATTTACCTTGTAGCGGTAAATAAATCCCCAAATCAATAGCTCTCTAAGTCTTCAACATTGGATGCTGATCACATAAGTTTTAGTGGACTGACCTAGATGAAGGCTCTCGGTCATGCATCCTCACCAGATTGCTAGTGGGAACGCCATGCTCAACTTACCCTGCAATCACTAACCAGTTTAGATCAGTCAATCGTCCATATATTGATAACCTATCAAATATATCTTTGAACCTCCTCGGTTCTGACTTTTGACTCCACTAGGTGAGCATGATTCATAGTAGAAGGTGTTACTGGTTAAAGCGTTGTTGAACTCTAAATACCTGTAGCATCTTCAATATTATAAGTCTATAAAAAAATTATATTACAATAACTGACTTAGGTTATATATTAAAATCTTGATTATATCAGTTAGCATTCAACTATGAAAATGGTAAGATTCATATCATTTACTATTAGAATATCTACATGAAATTTATGATTAGTACATTTGAAAGGTCACATACTAATGAAATAACATTACTTGGATATGTTAGTGTAATTGTATGATAAGTTATAAATATTATAAGAAAATTCATAGGAATATATCATAGAAAATGGGACAACACATTCTATTACGGTCATTGTAATCATAGTAATAGCTGATAATTTGACAACTTATAGTTTTCTATATGAAAAAAGAGGTTAAAAAGGTAGAAATTATCGATTAAGGTAGAAGTTGTTGTTTTTTTAATATGTTGAGAGTTGAAAAAAACCAATTCGATTAGTCAATGGAATAACCTTATTGTGTATTAAGACAAACAAACTGAATGAATGTACTGGTTTTCGACATATAAGTCAATTTCTTTTAAGTTCACCTTTCATTACTTACTTAAGCCTGTTACTCCTCGTGAAGGAGCATAGGCCGCTCACCAGCATTCTCCATCCAACCCTGTCCTGGGCAATCCTTTCCAGCTCCTACCAGTTCCTATTCATCCTTTTGACATCTGCTTCTATTATCCGACGCAATGTGTTCTTTGGCCTTCTTCATTTTCGCTTCCCTTCAGGATTCCAAGTTAGCGCCTGTCTCGTGATGCAGTTTGATGATTTTCGTAAGGTATGTCCTATCCATTTCCATAGTCTTTTCCTAATTTCTTCTTCAGCTGAAAGCTGATTTGTTTTCTCCCACAAAAGGCTGTTACTGATGGTATCCGGCCAATGGATGTTGAGTATCTTGCGTAGACAGCTATTTATAAATACTTGTATTTGATATTGGTTGAAAGTTGTTTTGAGTTCCATATGTTCTTTAACTGTAGGAATGCTACCCTTGCTTTGCCAATCCTTGCCTTTACGTCTGCATCTGAACCTCCTTGTTCATCGATGATGCTTCCTAGGTATGTGAAGGACTCTACATTTTCCAGAGTTTCGCCATCAAGAGTGATTGGATTGCTGTTCTCCGCTTTGAATTTGAGGACTTTGGTTTTCCCTTTGTGTATACTGAGGCCTACTGATGCAGAGACTACTGCTACACTGGCTGTCTTCATCTGCATCTGTTCGTGTGTATGCGACAGGAGGGCTAGGTCATCTGCGAAGTTCACCTTGATAAACATTAAAGTTTGTGCATTTACCAATTTACCTACTCTTGTGGAGCTAGGTATATAGGTCGTTTGATGCGTAGTTTATCCAAAAGAACTCAAGAACATTGTCCGGCGTGGCTAAGAAGAGGAGGCAGCGGCTCAATAAGAAGTTCTATAATCGAACACCTTGTTAACACAGGTCACTCAATCAAGACAGATTCTGCGTTCAAAGTCATCTACAAGGTAAGTAGAAGCCTTCCTTAGGCAATTAGACTGCATCTTCTTTGCATTGCCTAGGCAATAGCCATACATTTAAAAAAACCAGAATTATGTGTACAAAAGAGACTAGTACAACCTCTTCTTTTACCATGGTCTTAATGTATTAAAAAATTTTCTTCTCTTTTTCGTACTCTTGTTCTTTTACAGCCACCTGCTTCACCTTCCATCTTCCCTTCAAATCTTGTACCCTCAACCGGTTTGTTTTTATTTCCATGATCATTCCGATTACATTTCATCTCTGTTACAACATTTTATGTTATTTTATCATGCTGAGCTACCCTTACCCGATGAATACTTTAGCCATTAACTATCAAATTTTCCTTGTTTTAAAAAATTTTTTCTAATACCTTTGTTTATTTATTTAATATCACTGTCACCATGTATAACAGAAGTTTATTATCAGTATTATTATCATCCTGTAAAAATAAGTATATATATTTGCGATTGTACAGCTTTGAAAATGAATTCGCCGAAAAGAGAACTCTTCGCTGAACTAATCTTTCTTTCTTATTTAATGTCATCATGGGTGTATTCCGTTTATTAAAGTTTGTGTACTTGATTTTAAATTACCTTCATTGAAAGTTTCTCTCATATTTTGAAAGGTCCTAGATGATATCGTGAATAGGTTTCAACGAAACATGAGACAGCATTCGATTTATATTGTTTGATGAAATAGAATCACTAATTATGTATTCGAAAACTTCAGGTACTTAGAATAGTTGGTGTATTGATGTAATGATTCATGTGAAATAGTAAGATAAAAATAGTTGATATACAAAAAGTTTGGAAGATTACTATCCATTTGATGAATATGTAGAAAGTAAAGGAGAAAACTTGAAGATAATCATAACAGTACAAAGTTGTGATGATTGATTTTCATGGAAACCATAGACCGGTCAAAGACAATCGAAGGTGATCGTGCAATATCGTGGGTTGATTGAAGTTAGACATTAACACCGTTGAATGTCAGCTCAGTGGCTTAGAAGTTAAGTGTTTGCTCGCCAAACTGAAGGTCCTTGGTTCGATTCCCATAGGCACGGTTATGGATGTGCACTGCTGAGGAGTGCAATGCTAGGAGGACACGGCTATCCATTCCTTCCAGGTTTTTAGTAGCGGTCTGAAATTGGTAGGTTCATAATTCCTATGTAATCATAATAACTGGATATTAAGTATGAAAATTAGAAAGTTAGGACCACGGTAATGAAAGAACGATCATGGTGCTTTGAAACATAAATTTCAGACTTGGTTTAAATAACCTATCAGGCTTGTGCAGTACAAAGTATTTGATTCCTACTTCTTTAGAATTGATTCGTTTGATCGTATAGAGTGTTCTGGTGTGAAAACGTAAGATTTTCTGTTATAGAGGTTAGGATCAGTTTGTATTGGAACTTTGATCGTAATGTACGGTAACTCTAAGAGATGTTTATATTTACAAACGCAGTCAATGATAACGTTTTCGTTTCCCAAGTGGCTGAACTTGACCAACTTAGGTTTCTCATATGAAATTAACTTGAGTTCATTTCTATATAGAAATCTTTATAAAGGAGTAGTTAGAAGTCCCAGACAAAATGAAACAACTATTTATTGTCCCCTAGTTTTAATGGTTAGCGTTAGAGAACTATTACAACCACCATCAAGAAGGTACAGGTATTTATAAATAGTTGTCTACGCAAGATAATCAACATCCATCGGCCGGATACCATCAGTAACAGCCTACTATGGGAGAGAACAAACAAGCTTACAGCTTCCAGGAAATTAGAAAAAGACGATGGAAATGGATAGGACATACATTACAGAAATCACCAAACTGCATCACGAGACAGGCGCTAACTTGGAATCCTGAAGGGAAGCGGAAAAGAGGAAGGCCAAAGAACACATTACGTCGGATAATAGAAGCAGATATGAAAAGGATGAATAGGAACTGGAAGGAGCTGGAAAGGATTGCCCAGGACAGGGTTGGATGGAGAATGTTGGTGAGCTGCCCTATGCTCCTTCTCGAGGAGTAACAGGCGTAAGTAAGTAAATAAATTTTAATAATTCTTCAAATCCTGTCAGTTCAAGATGAAAAATCACTTTAAACTGTATATTCAATTAAAAACTGAAAAATATTTTCTTAACTATAAATTTCAGCTTACTCTTCAGTGTTTTTATAAATATTTTGCATCGTTTCTAAACATTCACCTAAATCTGAAGATAATTTCAATATTGTTGATGAAGCCAACCAATTTTTTTCTTGTTTAATATAACCTTCTAAAGCAACACCTTGTTTTGCTAAGGTATCAGTAAAACTAGTATCTAATGATATTGTATACTTCCATTGTTGCTCACCAGCTTGAGGAAGATTCTCTCTATATAAATAGAATATCAAATGAAATAATAATAAGTAAAGTGTATTATATTGATTAATAGACTGTTTAATTTATTTTATAAATAAGGAATTATACATAATGGTACTTGAAATTACAGATTGTTGTCTAAGAGATTGGTTGATTTAATCATAAAGAGTAGTATACTAATGGTAGATAACACAATAATCCACTTCAGTAGATTGAAGAGTTGAATAAACAATAGTGGTATGTTTAAACAAAGATTACTTATCATTTGTTTAAAATCAATAATAGTGTATTGCTTTGATTTGAATAGTGAAAATGACTCGGCATCATATACTTTTTTGAATAATAGAATGGTATTTGAAGCGAATGGTAATGGGTTAGAGTCAAGGAGTGAACATCAACTCTGAGATGCAGGTACATTCAGTTGAAAAGTTCGAAATAAAACTAAACGCGCGTTTTGAATTCCACTGCTAGCCACTATCCATCTTTGCTTATTGTGCTTGTGAATTAAGGCAATATCAAGGCAATACACACAGTATGCACATATGCTAATAAGAGACTGATTAACTGGAGTCCTAAATAGCAGTGGAAATATTCAAGTAAACAATACCAAGCGAATTTATATTTATATGTACGTTTCCTGAACATGGCAAACGTTTTTCTGTCTATGGATTTGATGTAACAGTGTGATTTCTAATGTATAAGAAAACGCATATATATGAATAGATATAAGATCTTATATTGTTTAGACGATTGATATATCAAAGTGGAAAGATATAAATTCTTTTGATATTTTTCAAAGTCTACCTGCTTTGTTACATAATCTGGTCGGTGTTATTTTGGATTATTTTATCAATATTTCATAATTATAAATGAGTAGTGAGCAGTAGAGTTATATCGGGTCTGTCGTGAGATATTAACTCACTGAAGATAATGATGAATGTGTCGCTCAATTTAGCGGATTAGTTAAAGGTAGACATTAATACTGTTGGATGCTGGTCGGCTCAGTGGTCTAGACGTTAGGCGTTTACGCGCGTGACCGACAAGTCCTGGGCTCGAATCCCGCGGGGCGTGGTCGTGCTACGCACTGCTGAGAAGTTCCACAATAGGAAGAAACGGCTGTCTAGTGCTTCCGGGTTTCCCATGGTGATGTAGCTTCAAAGACTCATGAATTCAGCTAGTAAATTATTATAATATCCACAAAACCACTCTCTGATTATAAACAAAATTATATTTGTTTAAATTGGTATCATGAATGGATAAATGTTAGACCACTATTAAAAACTTGGAAGCACTGGAAGGCCATTTCATTCCAGTATGGGACTCAGCAGTACGCATCCACATCCCGCACGCGGGGTTCGAATTCCGGACCTTCGATTTCACGCACGAACGATTAATCCCTAGACCACTGAGCCGGCCGTCAACCATCGGTGTTAATTTCTAACTTCAACCAATCCACGATATCGCGCCACCATTCACTATTGTTTTCAGTCAGTAACTGCTTCATACCCGACACGGTTGAACTCCACTGGTGACGGCTTCTCACTAGAACCCCATGAAATTCATTCTGAAACCATTCACTGGTGAGTACATGATAGTTATCGGTATAGAGTTGTGGATATTGTTAAGTTTAAATTAGTCTCATGAATTGATCAATATTAGATCACCATTCAAAATGTGAAAGTGCGCTAGACCAAATCCCTATATCGATCACTAGATCGAATTCCATAAATACGATTGTGGATTTGCCCTGTTAAAGAGTCCCACAATAAGATGAAACATTCGTCTATTGCTTCCAAGTTTTCAATGGTAGTCTAACGTTGACCCATCCATCCATCATATCGATCTAATTTCAACAATCTCTACAAATTCTATACTGATAATGATCATCATTTTACATTTAAATGAATGTGTTTTTCAAAATAAAAATGAAATATTCACTTTTTTTAATTTTAATCATCATGCAATCCGTTAAACATAATACAATTCAATAGTATTTGTTAAGAAAGTTTCAATTAATTATTGAACAATGAAATATTCATTTTTAATTGATTGACATGATGAATTAAAAATTGCATTAAATAAATCAGATATGATCAGAAGGGGTTTGTGGAGATTTTAAAAATTTCACAGATTGAAATCATGAGTCAATTGAAGCTAGATCACCATGGAATACCTGGAAGCACTGGACGGCCTTTTCGTCCTAGTATGGGGCTCCTCGGCAGTGCGCATCCACGATCTCGCACCCCGCGAGATTCTAACCCATGACCTATCAGTCTCTGTGAATTTTCTAAGATCTTCACAAAACCCATTCTGATAATAATATTCACCTGCTCACTAGTGACTGACTTCAAGATATACTCCTGGAGTTCTAGTGAGAAGTCGTTACCAGTGGAGTACAACCAGGTCTGTTGTGAGGTAGGAACTCACTGAAGACAATGGTATACGGTGGCGAAACTTCGTGGATTGGTTGAAGTTAGACATTAACACCATTGGATGCAGGCTCGGTGGTCTAGTTGGTTAAGCGCTTGGCGTGAGACTGATTTTATTTATTTATTTATTTATTTCAACACATAAATATTGGTACAAGAGGGCACCAAATATATATGAGCCACACCATATTTGTGTGTGTGGGCTGTGATACTGCCCGGGTGCCCAGACCGAAGTAGGTGGTTTTCTTAGGGAGCCACTCCTCGAGACTTTGACCTAAAGGTCTGATCCAAAACGCTGTGGATCATCGTGAGGAGATGCAGTCCCATGGTAGCCGGTGACCAACGTTTGGTTCATACTCCATTTGTTCCTTCAAGGTACTGGAGCCCAAGTGCACCAATGGTTTGGAATCCGGTTAAAGTGCCGGACATTCGCTTTTCGTCCTCTCATTTTCGTAAACAACACCCCCGCCACGAGAAGGCAGTGAGTAGGACTTCCCAGGCAGAGGTTGTATACTCGTGGCACTGTGAGAGCAATTCGAGAGGGAGGGAGGGCCCACCCCACTCCCAACCATGCCAGGGCACTTGGGGGCGCGAGACTGGTAGGTCCTGCGATCGAATATCGCGGGGTGCGGGATCGTGGATGTGCACTCCTGAGGAGTCCCATACTAGGGCGAAACGGCCGTCCAGTGCTCCCAGATTTTCCATGGTGGTTTAGTTTCAATTGACTCATGATTTCAATCTGTGAAATCAGTTATTTATTAAAATTAAAAAAATTTTTATAAATGAGAATAAAATTGAGAGAACATATGTAGATGTGGTATGAGCTACTTATATACACATAAGTAGTATATAATGATAGTCAAGAATAGAATGTATTTCAGTAAGAGATCAAAAAGGCAACGACGGGAACGAAAAGTAATTGGTGTGAAGGTGTAGGAACAATGAAATTTGAGATGATGAACTGATATTTGTAAAAAGGAACAATTAAGTTTAAGACAATGGATTGTTATTTTAACTGTATGGTTCTCAGATTTTACTAAGACGTTCTGTAATTCGATTGCTACCGCTCGTCTTCTTGTTCACTACACAGAGATAGTTAAGATTTAATTTAAAACGAATAGAATCAATTTTCATGTTTGTTGATTTAAGAGAATAATACAAATGAATAGAAGTAATCATTATGAATATTAGCCATTGATTCAAATAATGAAATGAAAACAAATAAAGAAAACACTTGATAAAATTTGGTTCTCTGAGTTGGACAGTTTGATCGTGGAGGTTTGATCGTTATTTTGAACAACATCACCAGAACATATTTCAATTGGAAGTGAAATGTTCAAATTTCATCATATATGACTCGCACTTTGACCTGTAAACCTAGATCTTGATTGGTTATCATCAACCTTCAACCTGCCATTGTTTACTTTACGAAAAACACTACGTAGGACAAAGCGGACCTCCTCTTCATTTTCGCCTGTATGAACATCAATTAGTGTTCAAACACTATGGCACATCTTCACTTATATCAACGTATATGGACAAGTGTGGACGCAAATTCGACTGGAAGAATATTGAGATCATGGATAGAGACAATTATAAAAACACTAGAGAATTTCTAAAAACTTGACCCTCGGTCAACCAGCAATCAACAAACACATTGAAATCGATGCCACTTATCGACCAATCAGAAAAATTATGGACAAATATGAGACGAAAAATGAACTCAATTGGGGATAAAACAAAAATAAGGAAGTAAACAATGACAGATTAAAGGTCAACAATAACCAATCAACATTGAGGTCTACAGGACAAGCTGTGAACCACATGTGGAGAGATTCGAACGCTTTACTTCCATCTGAAGTTTGTGCTGATGATGTCGCTCAGAATAACGATGAAAACTTCATCACCATACCATCTAATTAAAAAAAAACGCCATCAAAATCATCAACCTGGACTAGAAATATTCTCCACCATATCAAGGACAACACTTTCTTGTACCAAAAAACTAAAGTTCATCAAAGTGAATATAAAAATTAATAAATGTGATAAACTAATTAATCTAAAGTTATGAAGTTAATGATATAGATAAGAATTTTTAATAATTTTGACATAGTGAAGAAGATTTAGGTGGAGTTTTGTTTTCTGAGCTGGATAGTTTGGTTGTGGAGCTTTCATCGCTCCTCTGAACGACATTAACACCGTAAACTTCAAGTAGGAGTGAGATGTTCAAATTTCTCCACATATAACTCATAGCCTGTCCCGTAGACCACGATATTGATTAGTTATTTGTTGAGTCATATGCCGATAACTTCGAACACTTCACTTCTACTTGAATTTCGTGCTTATGATATTGCTTAGAAGAACGATGAAATCTCAACCATCTAGCTCAGAGAACAAAATCTTACCTAAATTTCTTATGATTATCTGTGAAATAAAGAATGTTGCTAGAAATAATATGTGAAATTTCTTCCATAAATTTACGGTGGTGTGGTGTTTGGCGAGTTTGATAATTTAATTATTTTGCTTTCATTGTCATTCTAGACAGCATTTACAGACTCCACTTTATGTAGAAGTAAACTTTCTAGTTATTCCACAAGTATGATATCATTTTATTCCAATACTTAGTAAGTAACTGTTTTCATTAGCTTTGTTGTCATCATTTTTCTTTGCACTTGTATTGGCCATTTTTGTTGGTTGCCAGTCAGTCAGTTACAACGTAGGACCACGTACAAATATGCATCGGTCCAAGTTGCCATACCTCGTTAGTACATCAAGATGAACAACGGGTTTATAGAAGCAGTTAATTCAGTGGTATTATATATAAAAAATTGCATATAAAGACATGGTAAAGGGAGAAAGAATTAGTTCGTCGAAAGAAAGATATGAAGCAATTTTAATCTGACAGTTAAGGAAAGATATAGAGTGTATACACCGACACCATTGTGATCGATTCTGAGCCATGTCACCCAGAGTCTCCAACCATTGGTTACAATAGTCTGTTGATTGACTTTTGAATTAATCGATTAGACTTATGTCTATGGGTCTATTCTCTGATAGCAGTAGCATGAAAATGCTTTGGCATTCGTGAAGTTTTCCCTTGAACGAAAATTTTTCTACATTTCTCCTGACAAATCAATAATCACAGTTGTCACCAAGAATTGATATTCATTCGGCTTACTATTGACAACAAGTATGAGTAAATTTATTTGAATAAAGATAATTTTTTCTTTGATGTTAAATTGACATTAATTGTACGACAATGGAGAAGACAGGTTTTTTTAATATTCGCTTAGAATGTTTCATCAGTGTATGTATATGATGCCATCTGGAATTGAGTCAAGCACCGTCAAGGTTCACCGTATGAGCATACTACATTTAATTCATTGTTTAAATCCACTGCTTTACAGTATCAACTATGATCAGTTCATGATATAATAATCATTAGTCAGTATTATCTGTGAGTTACTGATTCACTTCAAATACGTCTATCTTCATTGATCACTTCACATTAAAACGTCAGGAGTTATATCCCAAAATTTAGTATATTTGATTATATAATCAATACTGAATAAAGAGGTTTTGTGGTGAGTGTCTGCATAACGTTTAAATAACTATCATCCTAATCTGATAATCGTTGAATACTGAATAAATTATTCAAATATTAATGATTAGCTAACACAAAGATTCTTCTCTAAAGAAACAGTTGACAAGCTGATCTAACACGATAGTCTGAATCAAACATCATCTCCATTATATACACATTTAAAACTAATTAGTTAGTAATACAATCAATTATAGAAACTATTCAATGAAATAGTTTCGTTAAAATTAAATCAAATTCTATTAATTTTAAAAGTTTAAATCATGAGTCATTTGAAGCTAGATCATCATGAAAAACCTGGAAGTACTGGAAAGCCGTTTTATCCTACTGTGGGGACTTCTCAGCAATGCGCATCGACGATCCCGCCTCACAAGACCCGAATCCAGGATCTGTCGATCTAGAGCGCGAACACTTAACCGAGACCAATGGGTCCTGAGTTCTAATCTCACGAAACGTGATCGTGGATGCTCACTGCTGAGGAGATCCACTGTAGGACGAAACAGCCGTCCAGTGCTTCCAGACTTTCTATGATGATCTAGCTTTAACTGACACATGAATTCAACTATTAAAATTACCCCTTCTGATACAAAATTTTTTTTGTTAAAGTCATTAAGATTAATACAATCTTATAATAAGATAGTGCACATAAAAAAATAGCTTACTTGCATAAATGTTCATTTATCGTAGACCGATATGTTCCTTTTGCCAGTAAGAACATTTCAGTAACTTGAACAACTAATTAGAATATTTTTTAAAGAATAAAAAGTAAAACATTACTGACATAAATATTGATTATTCTATGATAGAAAATCATGAAATAATAGAAAATTCATCGAGTATATAACTTGTGAACGAACCAGTCAGGTATAAGATAAGTGGTCTTGGATTTTAAAGCGAAATTCACTCATACGTTTGATCAAATAGTGTTTAGGCATTTTAACTCATGTCAGTTCATGATGAAAAAGCGTAAATCTAGTTTCGAACCATAATCATTAACTGTGTATCATAATCTTTATTTTTCAAACTGCTTTATAATCCTCATTTAAACCTAGTTAGTAGGTAGACACTCTCAATGACACTTCAGTTGTCCATAAATTTTAGTTTCACCGAAAATTCTTTTCAGAAATATAAATGACTTTTTAAATAGGAATAATGACTAACCTACATCTATAGATTTTGGGATAAAGATGAAGTTTAAAATTTTTTTGGAAGTAAACTACATTAATAATTAGATATATGAAGCTTATGATATCTGAATAAAACGAAACTTTGTCAGTAATTCTACTGTAAATCTATATTACAAAGATTGGCAAACATCATTATCAAACCACGGGTTCGAGCCCCGCGTGGTGCGGGATTGTGGATGCGCACTGCTGAGGAGTCCCATACCAGGACGAAACGGCCGTCCAGTGCTTCCAGGTTTTCAATGGTTGTCTAGCTTCAACTGACTCATGATTTCAACCTGTGAAATTTCTAAAACTCTCCACAAAACCCATTCTGAAAACAACTGATTATTAAGCAAAGATGATTGATGGCTAGCGGTAGAATCCAAAATGCGTCTTTTGTCCTATTTGCGATTCATCAGCCGGATGTACCTGTAGTCCACAATTGATGTTCACTCCTCGACTCGAACCCAGTACCTTTCGCTTCAAACGCCATTGCCTAATCCACTTAGCAATGGCACTTAAAGCGAAAGATATTGGGTTTGACTCCCGGGGTAAATATCAACTCAAATCGAAATACAACCGGCTGATGAATCTTTAATAAGACGAAATGTAAATCCTGGATTCCACGTCCAGCTACCATCCAACTCTGCATAAGTAAATGATATCATCATAAAAAAACCTTATTCGTTGAATCATCTTTATCTCTTATTAAATAAATATTTACTTTAGAAATGTGAACCGTGGGAGCTAAAATCTAAGGCACACCACCGCTGAATAGCGTTTGTAAATCTACGACAAAATATCATAGATTTATTTTTGCAGCTTACGTCCGTCGATGAATGCGAGCTAAAAAATCAAGTATAGGACTCCGTTATATGGGAGCAGCTCAAATCTAAGACTTTTGTGCAATGGAATATGTTGCTTTTACACTATTGAGTTAAAACACATCTCAGATAAATTATTGATTTCTTATCTGTAAGCAACCATCCTCAGCAGTAGTACTTATCTTAAATTTACCAATGATAAACTCAGTCATTCAGTATTAATCACTGATACTTAGAGATTTTTCTTGGAACCCGCTACCACCGAGCACATCTTATACAATCTAAACGATTCATAAACGATATTCATATTTGAGTTATTTCAAATATTCAGTTTGTGAGGTTCTAGATAGACAGTAACTGTATTTCATTAACTTTCATGTGATGTTTTGACTCTCTTATGAAATAAATCTTTTTTCTACATTTAGTATAAGATTTAATAGTGATTAGATACAATAATTATAATTTATCAGTATAGGATTGTGGAGATTGTTGAGATTAGATTGATTTCATGAATGGATCAATGTTAAACCACCATTGAAAACATGTAAACAATAAACCGTCGTTTCGTACTAGTATGGGACTACTCGGTAGTTTGCATCCACGATCACACACGTGGGACTCCAACCCAGGACTTTCAATCCCGCGGGTGGACGCTTAGCCTTTAGGCCACCAAGCCGCTATCAAACAGGAGTATTGATTAACTTCAATCGATTCATGGTCTTGCTCAACGCTTCATCGATTGTCTGAGACGGATAACTGTCTTACACTCGACATCAGTTAGATTTCATTGGTTATGACTTCTCACTAGGGATCCAGAGAACCTATCTTGAACCTAGTCAGTGGATGAAGGGTTGTGCAAGATCAACGATCGATTGAAATTAAGCATTACCACTGTTTGACTTCAGCTCAGTCGTCTAGAAGCTATAAGTTCGCGTGAGCAACCGAGAATCTTAAGTTCGAGTCCCACTTGTGTATTCGTGGATGTGCACTGCCGATTAGTCTCATACTAGTACGAAACGACAGTCCATTGCTTCTAGGTTTTCAATGATAATCTAACACTGATCCATTTATGATATCGATCTAAACCATAATTTACACAAAGTTTATTCTTTATCATTTAAAGATATCAATTGGGGAATTATTGAAAGTTCAGGTTTACTGAACAACTGTTCAGTTATTCTTTCTAACAGTTTATATTGAAGGTTAAGCATTGGATTAAAACCAGAATATAAATATTATCTTTCTTTCTGTATGTATAATATCTATCATACATTCGTCATACTGATATCTATTGGGTATAGCAACTATTCAACAAAGATAGAACTTTAGAAAATCTATTTAGTATAATTATTAATTGAAAACTTTCACTTAGATACTAAGATAGAATATAAACTTACGATGATAAATAATAAACAAATAGATCATACGAGTCATTATAAATCTTTGTATATATATGGTATATTGCCTAAGTAAATTATACGATCAATATTACAATTCAATAAAAAGCACTCAATCCAAGATGTAATCAGTATAGAAACCATTGAAAAAAGAATATAGTAACTTAGATCGATTTATTTTCTTATTGTCAGTGACAAACTACAACTAGTTCCAGAGCCAAACCTTTTTTTTTAGATCATATGGTTTACATAAAATCAATGACTAATTTAGATGAAATTCTGAGGTTTAATATTTTAAAACTCAATTATGATACAGAATTATCTTAAGACAATTTATTTATATATTGAAACACATAAACATCCGTGCCTGGAAGCACCAAAAAGATATGCGCTACACAAATCATTTGATTTGTGTGACGGCTGAGTTACTGCCAGGGTACTCAAATCGAAGCAGGCGGTTTTCTTAAGGGGTCACACCCGGAGCTTTTGACTTAGAGGTCTAATTCACAAGGCAGTGAAGCAACGTTAGGAGATGCAGTCCAATGGTAGCCAGTGACTAACGTTAGGTTCAAACTTCCCTAAGAATCCTGGAACTGATGTGCCCATTGATTTGGAATCAGGGTTTTCCAACTTCAACTAGGTAGATCCTCTATATTCACTAATCCGGTTAAAGCGCTAGACATTCGTTTTTCATTCTCTCAATTTCGTAAACAAAACCCTCGATGCGAGAGGGCAATGAGTAGCACTTCCCTGGCAGTAGCTGTATACTCGTGGACATGTGAGAGCATTTCGAGAGAAAGAGCTGACTTTCCTCACTCCTGTATTAAAACAATATAATCAATGGTTCACTTTTTAAATTCCAATACCGTAGGTTACGATTAGAACTGAAAGTATTATTTATCGCCATTGACTGTTTTTATGAGCATATATTGCCACGAATTCGTAAATTAAGCACACAAAAAACAACTGTTCGATGTCCTCTAGTATCAATGATTACTTAAACTTATTATCAGAATGGGTTTTGTGGAGATTTTTTAGAAATTTCAGAAGTTGAAATCATTAATCAATTGAAGCTAGACCATTCTGATAATAATAATCACCTAATCACTAGTGACTGACTTCAGGAGACACTCCTGGAATTTGAGTGAGAAGTTCAACCAGGTCTGTTATGAGATAGGAACTCACTGAAGACAATGGTATACGGTGGTGCAACTTCGTGGATTGGTTGAAGTTAGACATTAACACCGTTGGATGCCGGCTCAATGGTCTAATATTTAAAGTTAGTTAGTATGTGATGGTAATAATGTAATTTTAAAGCTAATAATGAAGTGTTTATCAGAAAGAAGCTAATATATTTAGAGTGAATTTACTTTTGGAAAATAACCGTTGACATTCTATATGTGACTTTTAAGAAAACAAAAGACAAATACTAATTCAATCATACCATTTGGTAGGTTATATTTAATTTGATATATACAAGTGAATATACCATTATTGCTTGGATACTATTTCAAAAAGATTTAGTTTATAGCTAGATTCTTTAAACTTCCTTAGAATTCAATTCTAAAGACATTTTTCATGCTCTTTTTTTACATGTAGAATTTGAAGACTACAGATCGGTTGTTTGAAGTACTTGTACTAATCCTTTTTCTTGTTGATGGCGGTGTGAATGGTAGAAAGTGATAATATTACTACGCAAGTTTATTCACTATACAAATAAAATTGATGAACATACTTGCTATTTGTAATTTTCTAACTGATAAATTAGAAAAATTATCCAATACAATTGATACATTGACTGATTCATCATGATAATATAACTGTAAAATGTAAGTGTAAAAAACAAGATAATACATGTTTTGTATTATGTATACTATACATGTTGAAAATAATCAAAATAATCAACTTATTATTGATGGAGTTTTGTTCTCTGAGCTGAATGGTTTGATCGTGGAGCTTTCATCATCTACCTAAAGTTTGTGCTGATGATGTCGTTCAGAAGAATGATGAAAGCTCCACTACCAAACTATCTAGTTCAAAGAATAAAACTCCATCAAAATCATCCACCCAAGCTACAAATCTTCTCCGTCATTTCAAGAATTAACTTGTTTCCTTGTCTAAAATATAAATGACATTTAAACATCTATTCAAAAATGAGATCATCTATTCGTTATAGTTTATTTAGACTTATTTTCAACGGATTTATTATCAAGCTGTGCTAGTTCCATGAGGAAATGTGAACAAAGAATAAACAAAATAATGTAATAGAAGGATTATAATAACAAATCATTCTCATGTGTAGTTTAGAATGGATCACTTAATTATGACCATCATATGTGAATAAAGTGATCTTCAGTGCTGCCAAAGATATGAGGGCAGTTATCTCTTCCCGGTTGCCAACACCGTGGAAGGGTTCTTCTGGAAGTACCTGAAAACGAAATTGGATTTGAGGTGGTCTTAGTGACTTGAGAGCGTGGCCTCAGTGTCCAAGGGACAACTGCTGGAGGCAGATCACACATAATCTTTAGTGAGTAATTTTCGTGTTAGCTCTGTACTTGTTGGGTCTCTACCGCCGGAGACGGATATCCGTGTGATAAGGCGAGATGTGCATTTTTAGGGTCGACCCTTTCCAGCTCCACCTCTCCCTGTGGGAAGGCAACATCACTGTCATGCTGGTTGTTTGAAGGAAACACCTTACTGCTGTCACACCTCTGTACAGTCAGATGTACGACTTCACCATCGGACCTTGGGTTTGTTGCTTTTAGTGTTACAGCTCTTCAACCGACCTGTCTGGAATGGTGGGACCTCGAGGAACAATTGTTCCAGACGGTTTAGCTCAATAGGTTCATTACAATAGGTAAGCTCGACCACCACGTCAAAGCAGCAACAACACCAATTACCACGACTAATGTTGGAGTCGGATGCAAGAAAGTTACGGGTGGCAAAACAAAAACGTGGCATCAGTGCTTGATATCACTAACTTCTAGTCTTAGCCATAATGGTAAATGCAGACTACTTGGTTGGGGTCCACGTGACTATCGCAACTAATGGTTAGAGACTTTGGGTGACATGGCTCAGAATCGATCACAATGGCGTAAGTGTATACACTCTCTATCTTCCCTTAAACTATAAGATTGAAATTGCCCTATATCTTTCTTTCTGCAAACTAATTGTTTCTTCCTGTACTATGTCCTTATACACAATCTTACTTTCATATATTACTAAAATTGAAGTAACTACTTCTATGAATTTGGTGTTCATACTGTTATGCTAATGAGGTGTCGCAATTTTAACCAATGCATATATGTATCATGTCCTGCGTAGTAGCTGACTGACTGACTGACTGATTGAACCATCAATCAACAAACAACTGTTATTATTCATAAAATAATATAACTACTTAGTTTGATTTAATCTTTTTAGTAAGAAATTTTTTAAAAGAATATAATGAACTGGTTTGGAGAAAAAAAAATGTCACCATTCACTAAAAGAAATCAATAGCTTATCTTGAAATCTATAGTTCAAGTCATGGTAAGCAACATATTCTGACAGTTACTATGGTGTTAGTTTGAGTACAATTGTTAATATTAATTTATTCCCAATTGATGTTAAATATTCCATGGATGAATTGTTTGTTATACCTTCGAACTTTATCTTTATATCATAAAAGGAAAATTATGACCTAAATTAAATAAGTAAGGAATAAATTTACAAAGACTAAAATGAATGATTCACCTGATTTTGTTCAACATGAAATAATAACATCGATTCTCAGATTTATTTATAAAATGAACTATAGTCTTATGTTAATAAATAGGTTATTGTCTATTTGGAAATTGAGTAATGTTTTAGAAGAATAAAAAACATTACATTGCATTCACTTGATGTTGTTTTAATTGTATCTTCCTATTGTTATTTAGGACTGCAGTTGATCAGTCTCTCATTGGCATATATGCATCCTGTGCGAATTGCCTTGATATAATCTTAAGTCACAAGCTTTTTAAACAAAGATAGATAGTGGGTAGCAGTGGAATTCAGCTGGACGCGCGTTTCGCCCTATTTGGGACACGTCAGCTGAACGATGATATTCATTCCGTAGCTAAATGAATAACACGATGGCGTTTGAAGCGAACGGTACTGGGTTTGAGTCCCGGAGTGAACATCAACTCTGGGATGCAGGTTTATTCAGCTGATAAGACCCAAATAGGATGAAACGCGTGTCATGTATTTCACTGCTAGCCACTATCCATCTTTTCTTAAACATTACACTACTTTAAAGAAACGGAATATAAAAGATAATATTTACCGGTTTTTCAACAGACGCTGTAAGAACCACTTCTCCTGAATAACATAAGAAATTGATTGTTTTTCTAGTTGATTCAGCTACTGGATATAAGGGACGATTGATCAGTTTAGGTCCGGCAATATATCTTCTTAGAATAATTGTTACAGTGGAACTAGAATATAATCAGGAATAGGTAAACATATTGAAAAAATATGGGAATATTATAACTAGATAGTTGAATAATTTGTATAATAAGTAATGTTATAGAATTTATTCAATTTGAAATGATTTAGATTATCTCATTGTTGATAATGTTTGACTAAAATTTGATCAGTTTTAGTTGATGCATTTGTTTTCTTTTAGGATTGTTTTGACATGGTCAATAATGACATACGTTTATTCAGAACTAATGAAATGTGGCTAGTAGCATCAACTCTGAGATGCAGATACATCTGGCTGATGAGTCTTAAATAGGGCGAAACGCACATTATGGATTCCACTGTTAACCGTATGCTATTTATTCTGTGTTTGAAGTGAACGATGTTGGGTTTATCGATTTTAAACTAACCCTCTTACAATTGTCCCAGATTTATCATGTCTCTCATTGAAGTAACAATATTTGAATGTTTATATTTATATTAAGATTTGAACCAGGAAGATCGCTTTAACAGCCAGCATGTCACAAAAGCCTTAAGATTGTTCATCAGGAGTCATTTATGTTGTCATCCACAATGATTTCCATGTTTCCATTTACTAACTCATTCCTGAACAACAAGAAATCTTTTTCCAAAGTAGTTCTCTATTAAATAGCGTATGTCATATAAGAGAGTTAATTAAGTAGTCATTCTAGATTTTAAACAATCTTCGTTTCTAATCTGTCCCATAGTTGTCAATTAGCATGATTTACAACAAATGTTCTGAGACATAAAGATGCCAAATATCACTTATGCATCAATGAATAATTTTCAATGACAAATTTCGAGGAATTATAGTGTAGTGAACGAGCACACAAATGGAGACAACCAAATGTATTTGGACACTGAAGTGTAGATTCTCTTAGTAAAATCCAAGAACCATACAGTAAATACTTCATTTGCAAAATACCAATCAATTATCTCAGACTTTATTGTTTGTTCGTTTTCACACCAATCATTCCCTGTTCTCGTTATCTTTTCTTCAATCTTCTCAACTTTCTGGCTCTAGGTGTTTCACTTTTGATTGAGGATATATACTACTTATATCTGTCGACATCAGTAGCACACACCATAATAGTAATAAGCGTTTATTCAATAAATGAATTATTGTTAAATTCAGGTTAATTGGAAGGTGTATCAATAAAATCAGACGATATTTGTACAACGCCGCAAATCGGTTTAACTCAAAAATGTAAACTTCCAGAGTGCCGATAATGTTATTGAATGTTTTCCTACACTAAAAAATGATCGAATTATTTCATGTTTCATAGTGTAGAATTTGAATATAGACATATTTAAACCGAGTTACATTTTGGTCCTTCCTGTTTTTTTCAACATTTCTTCAGCAATAACTAGTTGGCTAGACCGTAATTTATGGATGAAGCAATCAGGTATAAGATAACAGGTCTCGGATTTCTACGCGAAATTCACTCATTCATTTGGTTAAATAGAGTTTTGGTATTATTGTTCATATCAGTTCGTGATGAAATCCCTAAATCTAATTCTTAACCTTAACCATCAACTGTAAAGCACAATTCTAATTCCTCACATTAGTCTATAACCCTCATTCTGTCTTAGTTACTAAGTGAACACTCTCAAGGACAGTTTAGAGTCACTGGAAGTTCATCCATAAATTATAGTCGCACCGTTACATTATTACTAATCTATAGAGGAGATTAACTCTAAATCGATCAAATTAACCATTACAGTATTGTTTCTGGAAGCAAAATATTTAAATTTGAAAAAAACCCACTGATGATTTATTCTAAGTAACATACCTAATCGGTTGACTGCTATGAATTTTCTGACCAGCGAATGCAGTCAGTGCATAACTGACACCGTATAACTAGAAAAAAATATATATACCAAATTTACAAAGAGAAAGAGAGGAGATGTAAAGAGAAAGAATGTTAAGCAAGTGTAAAACCCAAATCAGTTATTTTCAATATAAATAATGTCACTGAATAAAATTGTATTCGTCAAAGAATTCAAGTAACTGATCAAAAATAACTACATAAGAACATTGTTATTTTAGGTCCTGGGTTTGAAGCCAACATGTGGGATAGTGGACATATGATGTTGAGGAGTCCCATACTAAGACGAAACATCTGTTCATTGCTTCCAGATTTTCAATAGTGGTTTAATTTAAATCGACTCATGAATTCAACTATTAAAAATTATTTTATTCTCTATATTAACGAAGAGAGTTTACAAGATAGAACTATTCAATTGTTTTGTATTTATAATTAGATAACTCTTTCATTTGGTACAGACGTATGTATAATGAGAAGGTATTAATCATTTCAGTTCATATTATAGATGAATGCAAAGTAAAAACAAACAGTTGTTTATGATCTTGACTTCATTACATCATCATAGATGGATGTTATATGGCTTAGTACAGCTTGTAGTCATCCGAATGGAAGGAAATTAAAATCCCCATTGTAATAATTGATTATTAAATATATTCTGTATTAAATTTGATAGGTAATATGTGACTGTCAATTTTTCATGCACACAAAGTCGTTTAGTGGAAACTACTAAATGTTTTATGATTTACAGTATGGAGCACCATTGATAACTAGGAAGCAACTTATCAGTATTTCAATCTAGCGTGCAATCTGAGCCAGAATTCAATCGTGAAAATATCTAAACTCAATCAATTCGTGATATTCTAATTAAGTGGTCTAGAGATCAATTAGTTGTACTCGAAACTAATGGGCTTGAGTTTGGTCAGAGATGGGATCGTGGATGTATACTTCTGAGAAATCCTTTACTAAGACCAAACAACTTTCCGGTATTTCCTGGATTTGTTTGATAATGTAACTAAGATTATTATGTGGTGTTATATATGAAAATTATTTCTCTTATTACCTGAACTTATGTTGAATGAATATATGATCTTAATTGCAAGTAACCTACTGTTGGTAAAGTGCATTAGTTAAACTAATTACTTGATGTAATTTAATAAACCATATTCTTTAATCTAGTCAATAATTTGAACCAACTGAAATCATCATCTTAATACATTAAACACCCATTATAATTAGATGAAATCGGTTAACAATACTTAATCTAAGACATGTGTTTAAGAGGTTTAGTAATTAATTTTAATACTAAGACAGATCTCCTATATTTAGAATCTAGTGGCCCTGTAATATCTGACTTCAGTTTGGTCGTATGATTATCGTTATCAACTTATGCATGTCGCCAACCTTCACATATAATAATCAACTTAAATCGCATTAGCGAATAACCGAATTAAATAAGTTAAATGTGAGAATGGACTTCGAATACGTATATTTTGTATAACCATTGGACCGGAGAGACGATCAAAGAAACGAAGCAAAGATTGCAAAAAGAAGAATGCTAAACGAAAATGGATTGGAGAATGTATGCTAGCCAACTTACTTTACTTAACCGTTAATCAATATTTATGGTCATTTCGAAACGAAGTGAAGCATAGAAAGGCAAAGGCTAAACGAAGCGAAACGAATAATTAACAAGGTTAAAAGTGATTTAAGAGAAATGAATAAATTGGTCTATCTGGAAGCTGGAATAAGCTATTTGGGCTTGACATAGGGCCAGCTACTACAAGATTATGAGTATTCTATTGTGCCTTGTAACAAAGATGACTATTGCATATTTATTGAACACGAATAATCAGAAAGCAGTAAACGATGTTTCCAATGTATAGAAAATAGAAAGATTTATTGAAAGTTAAAGTATTTACCACATATGCCAATAAGAAATTGATCAGTCACAGTCCTAAACATCAATAGTAAGATTTGAACAATCATTAGAAAAATGAATTAAGAATGGCATCATTGAAATGTTCAAATGAAATGAAGCAAGTCCGCATAAAATTTAAAAAGTGACGAAATAATTAGAAAGATCAGCGAGACTATAATTTATATGCAAACCAATCAGGTATAAGATAACAAATCTCGAAATTTATTGATCCATGTGGTTCAAGAGATACTCCTGAAGTTCTAGTAGGAAGACGTTACCAGTGGAGTTCAACCAGGTCTGTTTTGAGATATCAGCTAACTGAAGACAATGGTATATGGTGGCGCAACTTCGTGGATTGGTTGAATTTAGACATTAACACCGTTCGTTTATAACCTTCATTTTGTTCTATTTATTACATGGACACTCTCAAGGTCAGTTTAGCGTCGGTCAAAGATCGTCAATAAATTATAGTCTCACTGAAAGATCTTATTAAGTGATGTAAAATAGCAAGAATCATGTAAAAACAAGGATAAAGAGTTATATAAGAGTACACAGACGACAAGTGTGATGAATAGAAAAGAACATAACGCTTCATTTATATATTGACCATCGTGAATATAATCTTTAATACAGTAATGATAAATGAAAGTATAGACCATTTTAAAGATGAGATTAATAAGAGGACGTGATTCGGTTAACTAAGCTAAATTTTAATGTCTTCAAGAATATCACTGAAATCTATATGTATGTCAGTATAAAGCTTAATTATTTATTTTTCAGGTAGTCATGATGTGATGTTATCAGAGCTTAGATTGACATCATGAATGGATCAATGTTAGACCACCATTGAAAACTATGAAGCGATAGACAGCCGTTTCGTTCTAGTACGGGACTTCTCAGCAGTGTGCATCAACGATCTCGCTCGTGGGATTGGAACCAAGTACTTTCGATCTCATGCACGAGCGCTTAATCTCTAGACCTCTGGGTCGGTAACTAACAGTGTTACTGTCTGACTTTAAGTGATCCATTATTTTGCATGACCCTTCATCTATTGTCTGAAGTAAATAACTTTCTTACAACCGACACGGGCTGGACTTCACTGGTGGTGGCTTCGCACTAGAACTCCAGGGAATTCAACTTGAAGTTATTCATTTTCGAGGACATGAGGAGTCCCATACTACGATGAAACGGCTGTCCAGCGCTTCCAGGTTTTCAATGGTAGTCCGACATTGATCCATTCATGATATCAATCTAAACTTAACAATTTCTGTAACCTTATGCTGATTAATATCAGGGCATCGGAATCATTTCTTATACAGTCACTTGTTTAGAGATGATGGAAAAGTCATACCTGGGTAATTATTCACTAGATTATTAATTTTATATTATTAAAGGATTTATTTTATGCCTTTTATTACTACTAAGATAAAGGATTTGTGAAATCGCGAATTATTCTTTCTTAGACCACCATTGTAAACCTGGTAGAAATGGTTTATAGTTTCGTCTTAATATGAAGCCCTCCAGCAGAGTACATCCACGACTATACGACCAGAAACTGAACCCAAAAATTATGTTCTCGTGAGTGAACATTTAACTTCTAAACCATTGAACCATCATCTAATGGTGTTACTATCTAACTTCAAATTATGAAATCATATTATCACAAATTATTTATAATCAATTGGTTTGTTTTCCACCACTCTTACGAGGGTGCTATAGCAGGACCATGAGTAAAGGGTAATTTTTAGAGTTTATCGCATATATTACAATACGCTTATGAAGATGAACTATTCGTTATTATAGGTGTAGGGGCAGCTAAACCAAAAGGTGGCATCAGTGCTTGAAGTCACTAACTTCTAGTATGAGTCATGTTGGTAGATGCAGATTACTTGGTTGGGGTCCATGTGACTATCGCAACTAATCGCTGGAGACTCTTGGTGACATGGCTCAGAATCGATCATAATGGCGTCGGTGTATACACTGTCTGTCTTCCCTTAAACTAAGAGATTAAAATCGCTTCACATCTTTCTTTCTACCAACTAATTCTTTCTTCCTGTACTATATCCTTATTGCAATCTTTCTTTTATATATTACCACCTCCGAATTAACTACTTTTATGAATCCGGTGTCCATCTTGTTGTGTTAATGTGGTATGACAACTTGGACCGATGTATATATGTGCCTGTTCCTACGTTGTAGCTGACTGGCTGACTGAATGATAGGTATAGACAGTCTTACACTTGTTCATTGATTGTAATCTAGCTTAAGATATTTTCATTTATTTACATAGGATAAAGCTGATAGAGATTTACTTATTGATTAATTTCTTTTGATGTTTAAGACAATTGAAATGAAGACCATGGGTCAATTTTATTTATGATTGAGTGTTATATAATTTTATATTACAGACAAATAAAAATCTTTGTTCTCTATTATTCAAATAACAGAATATTTGTTCTATTAAGATAAATCTATTCAGCTGAAAAAGAAATTTATATTCATCAATAATGGATTATTTGTAAAACAAAATACTTTTTAGATCTTTGCTAATGTAGATAGGGGATTGAAACAATGAAGAATTTCTGAAAGAAGATATCGTCTTTCCATATACTTTATCCACTAGATTGAATAAGTGAATAACATGCAAAGGAAAACTGATCGAATAGTTTCACAGTATTTGGGCAACGAGTTGATGTGAGACATTAATGAGGAAGAATGTTGTATTTGTCATATCTCAGCGAAAGAATTGGAAGTAAATTCAACATTTCATCTGGCAATCTTGTCCAAGTTTTTTTTTCAAGGAAAATAACTTGAAAAAGTTTCGACCAGGTTGGATTTACTTTCGCTGAGATTTTGCAAATACATTCTTTCTCTTTAATGAATAAACATTTTTATTTGTACAATAAAAATTAAAGGATATTGCTGAAAAATCAAGGTTTATTTCATATCATTAAAACTGAATCAATTTATTCTCTGTAGAGAAAACAATCTAAATGATAATACGGGGATTAATTATGTGCTCACAGGAAGTTTGAAAGTATCGGATATCTGTTTTGTCCTACTATCGAACTACTCAGCAATGTCCATTCACAAATTCACTTCAGATAGAAAATA